TGTGTACCATACATGTATATCACTGCTTATACCTTTTCTGAACTTCTCCAGTCTTGTAATTTTATTTAGGTACAGTTACAATAAGTAAAATTTTTCATAATTTAGTAACATTTGGGAAAATTAAGACTCACGGAATCGTAATCACACTATTGTAAGCAAACCACGGTACTTACCGTGGTTTTCTAGCCTCCACCCTTACCGTGGTGTGTAAATTAACTGTTTATTTGGCTTAACCTCTGTTAATATTCCCCATATCCACGAAATTCCACTGTTTTCTGATTATCAGTGCTTCTCTTTCCTTCTCCCTGCTAAGAATAGTATATCTGTATTCTATTATAATCTATTCTGTAACATCTATGCATGTTTTCTCTCTAGCTATGATATCTGGGGTTGCCTCTGCTAGTCCTTCGTTCAGTTCTCACTCTTCTTTTATATTGTTTCATACTTTAGTAAGCATACCCTGAGTTATTGTCTCGTACTGCCTACTGGTCTGGGGTTGCGCTGCTTCCTGTCGCGTGGCCATGTCGGGGTAGGGAAACCACGGGATGGGTTAGGAAAACCAGGGTTATGGATAATTAGGAGAGGAAATTCTTGTACTGTGTGTGTGTGGTGTGTGTGTGTGTGTGTGTGTTTTGTGTGTATGCGTGTATGTGTGGGTATGTGTGTATGTGTGTATGTGTAAAGTTAGTGAGATATACACGATCAGGAGAGAGCAGTGAGGGTTTGCAGCAGAGAGTGGTCAGGCAAGTAACTGCTGGAGTTCAACCCAAACAAATGCAAGGTCATGAAATTTTGTCAAGGGAAGGAAGACCGGAAGCGGAATACAGATTATGTGAGAAATTGCAATTATAGACGACAGTAAAGGACCTATGAGTTAACATCACCCCAAAACCATTTTGCCTGAAGAGCACATAAACCATATTATTTGGGCAGGCTATGTCGGGTAGCAGATCTTACCCACCAGGAATCTCAGCTAAGAAAAATTTCAGGACTCTGTACACAGCGTACATCAAACTCATCATAGCATATACAACTCTAGTTTGGAACTCCAACTGATAAAGCATAATAAAAAAGCTTGAAGTGGTATGAAGGTCAGCAACCAGATTAGTTCCAGAGCTAAAGGGACATGTTATGAGAAGGGGCCCTAAAGAAATTAAATGTAATGCCCCTGGAAGAACGAGGACAAGGGGCGGGGGGAGACAAATTAACTACAGACAAGATACTCCAAGAAGAAGCTACGACTGAGAGGAGGACGTTTTTCAATGGGGGGAATAGTAAGGGAGGGCCCATAAATTTTTAAGTTTAAAGTATAGATGTGAGAGGGTGCTGGGAACTATATTTTAACTCTCTGGGAAGTATGGAAACTCAATTACCTGGATGGGGAAGTGATGGAGGTGACCTGAGCAGAGGCCAGGAGCTGGGCGGACCCTCGACCCCCACAAGCACACACACACACCCACATACACATATACACCCACACCCACCACAACATTACACACACACCACACACACACACACACACCCCACACACACACACACACTAACACAGGAACCATAGATAGGTTTAAGACGAGGTATGACAAAGCTCAAGGAACAGAGAGAGAGAGAGAGAGAGAGAGAGGCCCTAGTAGCGATCACTGAAGAGGCGGGGCCAGGAGCTGAGTCTCGACCCCTGCAGCCACAATTGAGTGGGTACAATTAGGTGAGTACACACCCCACACACACACACACACACCACACACACACACCACACACAAACACACTCAAACACACACACACACCACAAACACACGCGTCCATCAAGGCATTGAACAAAATGTATCTTGACACAGCTGGTAGTTACGGGATGTCCAGCCAACTGCAGTTCTTGGTCACACCTCACAGACCAAACTGAACACACCTTTAGAACTTCAGATGATATCTTGCAATGGTGGTTACTGAGGACATGCAGGCAGCTTCCCGGTGCGACTGAGGACATGCAGGCAGCTTCCCGG